AATGATCTCACAACACTTTCCAACACACACAAATGTTGTGTATTTTGAATCTGTAAGTTATACATTTATATATATATATATATATATAATATATAGATATATATATATATATATTGTAGTAGTTTTGTTGCAGCTAAATCTATTTTGAAAGTTTTGAGCACTGATTGGCCCAGTTGTTTAAATGATCCAGTTATAAAAAGATGCTCTCCCACATAGATTTGCCTAATTTTAACCATTCAACACTGAATTTGTTTGTTCTTCCAGAACGGCAGCCTCCAGCACACATGCCTTTGTTCCCCCAAGCCTGCGATGTGAACCCCAAAGCCCTGCCCCCCGTCGACTTCTGGCTCCTCCCCCTGGACCAACGAGCCCGCCACAAACACCCCAAAAGAAGAGGTGAAGATGGAGCTGGAGAACGCCAGTCTATGGAAACAGTTCAGCTCGGTGGGCACAGAGATGATCATCACAAAGAAGGGCAGGTGAGAGGATATTGTGACTTTGACCCCACCTCTAAGTTATTATCAATCAGATCAACAAGCTGCACTGAGTCAAGGAATCAGACTCAAAAGTGAATTCAACTTCTACTCTCCCTCCTTCTTTCAGACGGATGTTCCCGGGTTAAGGTTAAAGCTCTCAGGCCTAAACCCCTCTCTCAGATACATCCTGCTCCTGGACATCATCCCTGCAGATAACTCCCGCTACCGTTTCCAAGGTGGCGGCTGGCAGGCTGTGGGTGGGGCCGAGGCGAGGCTACCAGACCGGGTTTTCATCCACCCTGACTCCCCTGCGACGGGTGCTCACTGGCAGGACCGCACCATCTCTTTTCACTACGCCAAGCTGACAAACAACACACTGACACCCAGGGACATGTAAGGACTGAAGGGAATCACACAGTAGAAACTATTTCAAAACCGACACTGTTTTTTTTTTCTTTGTGGCGAATTTAGATTTAGTTTCAATTCTTTTCATTTCCAGATAATCCTGCACTCGCTGCATCGCTATCAGCCCAGAGTTCATGTCATCGAAGCCAGAGACTGCTGAGGTGGGGCGGAGGGCAACACTCCTTTGTTTTCCCTGAGACCCAGTTTATCACAGTCACAGCGTACCAGAACAAGGTACCACCAAAGAGCATTTACATATAAAGAAAGAAGTTCACATGTAAATGGGCCTTGCTATCGGTGCAGTTCATTTATATTGTGTGTTTTGTTGTTGTTTTTTTCAGATCACAGACCTCAAGATCAACGCCAACCCGTTTGCTAAAGGCTTCAGAGAGGACGGCATGAACAGCAAAAAGTAATTCACAACTAATACCTGCGTTAAAAAAAAAATATATTAATATAATATAATATAAAAAAACATATTACGGAGGATTTAAACTTTTTTTCTGTTGGCAGACAAAGAGACGCAAGACAGAAGCGCAAAATATCCGTCTCGTCAGAAACCTTGGATATTGGTGAGCATAATATTCAGATTAACTCTACTTTAAAAAAACAAACAAACAAACAACAGACAGACCTCTTCTCCTCAAATTGCCTCATCCTAAACTATCTCCACCTTTCTGCCTCTCTCTCAGTGAACTGTGATCCATGCGACTCCACTGAGCACCTGCCACAGTCTATAACCTCCACCTCCAGCACCGCAGACCTGCAGGCCCTTGCCCTGGCCTCTCTCCCTCCCTGCCTGACCCCTCCTGTGGGTTCAGACCAGGCGAAGCAGCGTATCAGGACACTCTGGTCCCTCAGCAGACACTAGACCTCGGCCAGGCGTTCATGGCTTCCCAGATCTCAGACATCGGCCTCTCCATGGCCAGTGGGATGCAGGACACGGCAGGAAGTGAGATGGCAAATAGTATGATTGAAAGGTAGGGGCGGAAAAAAAGAAATACTTAACTCTTGTTCCTAAATATATTGTATATTTTTTCACTTTTCCAAAGTTTGACTTTACATAGAAACCTTTAGGAAGCTGAAACTAGTGAATATTTGTGTTGAATAAATTCAAGTTATTGTGCATACATTTTTTCATCTACAGCACTGATGTCTTATTTTTTTTATTTCCCCCCCCCTCCACAGATCAGACACTCTGGGTGAACCAGCTTACACCTCCACGTTCCCTGCACCCGAGGCCAACTCCTCCTCTTTCCCCTCAGCTCCTCTCCCCCCACCATCCTCCACCTTCTCCTCCCTCTCCGTTTCTGACATTTCTGATACATCTAATCCTCATCCTTCCATCCCTTCCATGGACTATCCCTCCATCCTCTCCTCATCCCCCATTCTCTCCTCCTCGTCCACCACCACTACTCCCTCACTTCAGCAGACCACTTTCACCTTCCCGACCCCGCCTCCTTCTAACTCCTCCTCTCCACAGCCGCTCCTGTGCTCCTCATCCTCCTCCCCAGCTGCCAACACCTATCACACCATCCCAGAGACAATCAGCCCACACACGCCTACGGACGACTCTTTTTCTGCTCCGTCTGGTCTGCAGGATCAAATATCAGCTCATCTAAATAACTCACCCAGCGATCACAGCTCAGCAGCTTTTATCTATCCTAATAGCCTTCCTGCAAATCCCGATCCTGCTCCAGTTACTTTTCCGCCCTTCTTCAATCAAAACCACCATCCTCTTCCCACTCTGCCTTGCTCCTTTCCCCCTCACGGCGCCCCCACGTCTTTCCCCCTACCCTCTGTCCCTTCACACATGCAAAACCTAGCGTTCCCAAACATGCACCAAAACTCTGCCCACCCTGCCCTGCACCTCCAGAACCAAGCACCCTCCCTTGCTCCTGCCTTTACTCCCTCAACATTCACACACCAACCATCCTCCCTCCCTCACCCTCCTTTCCAACCCTCCTCCTGCTTTGCTGTCTCCTCCTCTTTCCAGCAGTCTGCTGCCTCTGCTCCCTCGGCACATCCTCAAAACCTGCACAACCCCCCTCCTTCCTCCTCCACCACCTCCTCCTCCTACCCTCCACTTGAAAGAGGTGCCATCCCTCAGTTCAATCCTGTTGCACCTTACCGCCCAGATATGGTGCTGCACCACCCGTCTCTTCTCCCCCAGCTGGATCCATCGCATCCCTCCAGCATGCCCTCCTCTAACCCACCTCAGGCCCTCTACCATTCCTTTCCGTCCTATCCTCTCCGGCTCCGTCAGGACCCTCACTCGTCCCTCTCCATCCCGTTCAGGCATCTGTACAGACAGCACCAGCATGGCCACCCACACCCCCAAGGGTCCTACCTTGATATGAGCACAAGAGCTGTGTTTTGAAAAGCCTAATGTGGACAGAATGATTTGGTTTAATAGCGCTTTTATGACCCTTTTTTTTTTTTAACAATTTGTAGCATTAGTTCAAGTAGTCCAGTGTACTACCAGTGTGTGTGTTTGTGTGTGTTCCCAACAATTCAGGTGATGAACTGATTAATGAAATTGATTTAAATGTGTAAATAGCTGTATTTTCTTTTCAATTATCCATTCCAGTGTGAAAAATAAAAAAAATGTAATTTGTGATTCAAATCTTTTGTTATACAGTCTTCTCTGGTTTCACAGCCATCTTTTCAACCACTATCAAAGTGTTCTGTTTTACACAGTTGGGTATTTTATGAATTTGATTGATTTGCACGTATGTATCTTGCTGAGTGTTAAATAGATAGTTATATACGACTCTCATGTTTTGATTCTAACTACAAAGCTAGTTCAACAGAACGGTTCAGACAGAACTTTACACAGATTCTGATACTAACAAAAATGCGGGTATGATTTTTTTCATCAAAATTTCAGTCAGGTCGCAGGTCAACATTGTTTCATCCAATTTGAGTCAGGCCAGGGGTCGACATTTTTTGCTCAAAATTTGCGTCAGGTCAGGGATCCGCATTTTTTCTTAAAATCTGAGTCAGGACGGGGGTCATCATTTTTTCATTCAAATTTGATAAGGGATGCATGTCAATATTTTTTCATCAAAATCATAATTTTTGTTCCTTTAATTTCAGGACATTAGGGTAGTTCAAAAATCAACTCCAATGGGAGACACCCAGATCAACAGTGGATCGCCTCCTGTCCTGAAATGAAAAGAACAACCCCCCAAAAAGAGCATGCACTTATATTACAGGCTTCATGGTGCAGATATTTCACATTTCTTAATCAAGCTACTATAAATTGATCTTAACATTATTTGTGACATATTTTAACAAAGTTTTATAATTGCCTTCAACCTTCCTTCATTGCTAAATGATAACTTGTATATCTTGGGCCCTGAAGTTTTTTATTGCTGAAAATGACAGCATCGATTCTTCTTTTTAAAAAACTTCTGTGATTTTTTTTTTCATACTTGCCAGTGTACTAAGGGTTTGAGTGTCCTTAATGTCAGAGGGATGTCAGTTTGTTTGGTCAAAAATACACAACAAGGATGACAGCAGACGGGAGTTAATCATTTCCTCATCTTGTTACTTTGTTTGGTCTTTTTAGAGAAAATATGTGTGGACTCAAGCTTCTCAGTAGCCTATTGACCTCTTCAAAGCTTTTTTTTTTTTAATGAATCACTGTGTTGTCTTTTCTTAAGAGTTTTTGTGGTCTATTTGTTCATTCAAAAGGGGCAACAAACAAATACCCAAAAATGTGAAATTAAGTCAAGAGGCTTTTTTATATTTGACAGGATTTAAGATTTAAATTACAAACGTATTGTTCTTAGCATAAAAAAAAAAAAAAAATTGGAAAACAGTCCTGTAGACATTTTTATCTGCATTTTTGGTACAGTTTTAAATATTTAACATAGATTCACATATTAGACAAACATTATCGGGGAAATTAATGCTATACTTATAAACAGAGTTGAACACTGATACATGTCTTTGACCCACTTTGGACTACCATCTCAAACCCCTGAGAAACATTAAAAGTTAGTATTTGATGGGTGTCAGAACACTAGTGGGTTCATGCTAAGGGTCAACTTGATGTTTACTCAAATTTCCAAGTAGTCACTTATTAACAGGCGAGAGAGTCAAAAGAGGACGAATTGAACAGGTCCACACTTGAGAGCTCACCTGCTTCGCTGTGTTTTATCATCTGAGCTTTTCCTGAATACATACTCTGAGAAGGCGGGTAAGTTCAGGCTCGTTTGTTTCTGTAGGAGGACACTCACTCGCGTATTATTAAAAGTGTGATAACTTCATTGCTGTAAGAGCCGATCAGACCATTCAATTAGGAAAAGAAGCAACTTGTGTTCTTACTGCAGAATCCACAATGTGTTCATTATATCTGTTTTTAGTTTTCTAGATCGATAAATTATACTATACTATACTATAGTATGTAGTATATTATACTACTATTACTATATTATATTTGTGTTATATAAGCACTGTCAGAGGGAATTCATTTTGGGGAGTATACTGGAAGTAAAGAAGCAGAAAAGTTTTCAACTCTACCTTTGCTTGACAATCTTTTTATACGTATCTAGTTGGATCTGCTTATGCTTCTTTATTTAAGAGATTTTTTGATTTTTGAGATTTCTTTCTTTTAGATTGACAGTAAGCACCATGCAGTTATCGGTCGTTTACTGCATTAACACCACTGACATCTTCACCGGCTGCGCTTCCAACAGAGTCTGACATGAGAGGGACTTTAATTCCTGTAACATTCAGCGTCTTTTCCACAAACACTCCCACTCCTTAAGACTCCAGGAACAAGCCGAATCGGTGAGACAAAACCACACATTTTGCAGGGACGATGCTTTACTCTCGTTTGCGTCCTTTACTCCCTCGCCTCATGCCGCTGAGGATGACCAGCACTGAGGCCTGCACGACGATGAAGGTCAAACAGCTTAACCTCCTCGAAGAGACTCTGGCCTTTGAGGATCCCAAAGCTTTCAGGGTGAAGCGTTTTGGTGAGCTGCTGCGAGCTCTGGGTGTCTTTCACCTCTGTTCCTTCCCTGTACTGGTTAACAACTGTGGGAAGGTAAGATTAAGTTGAATGAAAATGAGAAAAAGAAGAGTTAAGGTCAAATCAGAGAAAACCTTCATCGCTCTTCTGTCTGCTTCTCCTTCTTCCTCTCTTCTCAAAGCTCATGATGATATCTCGTACCATCCTGGGGAGGAGGGGGTTCTCCATGCTCCTAAGGCCCACTGTGTACGCCCAGTTTGTGGCGGGAGAGAATGAGAGCGAGATCTCTCAATCCATGGAGAAGATGAATCTGCTGGGACTGAGGCCCATGCTGGCAGTGCCCATCGAGGAGGATCTGGGAGAAAGCACAGGGCGAGACAAACTCAGCTCACATTGCTCTCTATTTGTTGATTTAAAAAAAAAGGAGGACCAGAATTGAGTCCAAGGGTTATAAAAGAAAGGGCTTTTATGGGGAATGTCGCCGTCCTAAAGCGAGATGCTTTTTGCACATTAAAAGAAGAACTCAAGCGAAGCTCACTTCTGCTTTGTGTCACCACTAGAGAGAAGAGATATGACGACAACATGAAGGCCATGTTGGAATGTGTGCGAATGTCTCACAGCAATGCCTGGAGTAAAGACCCCATGATGCAGCTGAAGATCACAGCCCTGCTCAGCCCGGAGCTGTGTGTAAGACCACCATAGACTTTATATAGGAAGCCACTGTAACATCACCCGTTAGTTTGATTACTACCGTTATGAAGCCCTTAAAGTAAAGGAACAGGATTTGGTGTAATTCCAAGTAATGAAAATAACATTGTTGTCTCCCAAAAAATGAAAACTGTCTCCCTCTTTGTAATTGAACTTTTAACCTCGATGGTATCTTAAATTAGTTCAAATTTGTGGGAAAAAAGATAAGAGCACACGTTTCAGTATTTGGTGTACCAACAGATGTTCCAGGTAGTTTTTAACCCCCCGCGCCATCTAATATATTAAAGTGTTGACTCTTTATTTTCATGAAGTGTACACTTTGTTTATAACTTCCCACTGATAAGTATTTGCTGTTTACATCAAGGTGAAACTGACAACCATCATCACACAGCAACCATATGACTTGGATCTTGTTGTCAAGGCAATGGACGGAGAGGTGTGTCCAAAACACATGAAGATAACCTAGTTTGTTTGGATGTCTTTCATTTCCCCACGTCAGTACACATACACTTGATGTTTCTGTTTGATGATTTCTGACCTTTGCATAAACTTTTAATCTTTCAGCCAGTTGACTTCCCTGGTTTAGATGAACGTGAAGCTGCTCATTTTCTCTGTGGCCTGCATCGACTCAACAAAATATCTGAGGTATTACAGATGTGAAAAATGACAGGAACATTAGCCTGAAGAGTCTGAAGTATCCAAAACAAATGACTCAAAAATAAACATTATATTTTGTTTGTGTGTTTGTTAGGCAAGTGTAAACAAAGTGCGAGTCCTCGTAGATGCAGAATACACCTACATGAACCCCGCTCTCTCGCTTGTTACCATGGCGATGATGAAGAAGTTTAACAAAGATGGCGTCTGGATTTGGAACACATATCAGTGTTACCTGAAGGCAAATATAAAAACAATTACCTCTATTTACTGCATTTAATACCGGACTAAAAGAGACTTTATGAGACTCTCTCCTCTCGTGTCTGTGACTTTCAGGAGTCTCGGTCTCTCCTGTTAGGAGCTCTGCAAATCTCCAAGGAGGAGGGTTTCTGTCTGGGGGTCAAGCTGGTCCGAGGAGCCTACATGGACAAAGAGAGGAAGCTGGCAGAGAAAGAGAGTCAACTGGACCCCATCCACAACTGCTGGGAGGACACCAATGTCAGGTGCGTGACAGGCAGTGTTTTTTAATTACAACCAAGTAAATGAATACAATGATTGAAGAACATTAAACTATATTTTAGTGATTGGGTTACATTTTTATCAAAGAAACAGGGATTAATTTTGTAAAGTTTTTACGTGGATTGAATCTACTAAAGTGCACTAATTCTTTGGTGGATTAACCCTCATGAACATAGAACAAAACAGTGCTTGTGTTTGTGCAGCTATAACGGCTCACTTGACGTGATGCTGAAGGCCATATCCCAGAAGCCTGAGCGCTACAGGATCATAGTGGCCACTCACAACGAGGAGTCAGTGAGAAAGGCTGCGAAAAGGTTTGATTCAAGCCCAAACTTTACTTGTTCATGTTTTTGTTTTATCAGATGTAAAAAAAAAAAATTAAATTTTCAATTCTCAGGGGCATCTTTTGTTATTGGCCCAAGATTGGCGTCTAGTCCCGTGTCTTGTTACTTCTTAAACATTATGTGGCTCTTTTTGTCTATCATGGCTAGAATGGAAGAGTTGGGGATAGACAAAGATGGAGGCTCAGTGTGTTTTGGCCAGCTGCTGGGAATGTGTGATCATGTCTCCCTCACGCTGGGTGAGCTTTAGCCTCAGTGGGCATTCTTTACATTTACAAATTATTTGCGAAAAAACTGTACTACTACCTATAATTGCATTACAGTTGATTAATGGGGTCTTAGTTACATGTATTTGTGTTATTTCACTTTATGTACATTTACTCCTCTGACATGTTTTATTGTCTCTCCAGCTAAGGAGGGCTATGCCGTCTATAAGTCGGTGCCATACGGCTCAGTGGACGACACGCTGCCCTACCTGGTACGTCGGGCTCAGGAGAATCGCACAGTGCTGCAGGGAATCCGCAAAGAGAGAGACCTGCTGAGGAAAGAATTCTACAGGAGGATGAGTCTGAGGGGAGGGAAATAAAAGGCAGTCAAACAAGAGTGGAAAGTTTGTTGTGAGTGAGCGTAAACTGCTGCTGGACCATTCAACCCCTTGTATGATGGCTACCAACAGAATAAGAACATGTATGGCAGCCCAGAACATCTATAAGGATATCTTCAAACAAGAAATATTGTTCTCTCATTACAGTTGATTAAATGTACATGTTATCCTGAACAAGCTAGAGAGGATTTCTCAAGATAGATAATTTATCTCTAGATCACAGGAGAGCCTGATTATGGACAACTCAAAAACTTAGAAATTGAGTAATTCTCTAGATTACAGGGTTGGGTTCTCAAAATCACAGAATCAAAATTGAGTTGAAGTACCAGAAACTTTTGTCTCCTGAAAACACCAGAACACAAAGAATATCGGAGATTTTAAAGCTTATATTGACTGATGTATTAAATCAAGCAGGAATCACGGAATGCATGGGTTAGGTACATCTATATTTCTGTGCAAGAGAAACTGAAGAGGAATTTGCTGACATTACATTGTACGATTGATTTCCCATTAGTTGTCATAAATTAAGTTTCCTCTGAGCTGCTTTAAGAGAATCATGGCTGTTGCCTCATTGGTTTGATATCTTTGCACAAAGTATGCCCAACTGACACATGTAGCATATTCATATTCAGCATTTTGATCTCTTCAAAGATCTTCCTCATACATTCTTTAACTCTGCCTTCCTCTTACTACCATAAACACACCTGAAACTTTTTTCCATGTCTTGTTCTACCTGAAGAGCCAGTGTAATCAAGGATCTATTTACAGCTCATACAACTTGACTCCAAAGAGCATTTCCCTGCATTGTTCAGTGTTCAGAATGCACTCACTCCTGTTGATTTCCTTGAATTAAAAGAAAGTTCTTTCAGCCTGTTTTCAGTCTTTTAATGAAATGCGGGAGCTGTATTCATCCATAAACGTTTGTTCCCACCAGCAGCTTTTCATTTTTGATGCCAAGACAACAGAGTATTCTGAATATAAAACCAGTGTTTATTATAGATTTTCTTTGTTGTTGCTTTTATTAAGCCCCACAACTTTAAACACTTACCGCTCTACTTTTACAAGAAATCTTTTCATTTAGGCTTTTGGCATTTAAATTCAATTTGTCCTGTTCACAAAAGATAGTATACTTTCACCCATGTGTTGTACTAAATGTGGAACTTCCTAAACAAAACAAAACTCCCCCATAAATGCTTGATCAAGAACAAGATTGATAGTTCACTTAACACTCCTGACACCACACGACCTGACAAAGGTGATCATTCACTAGACCAGGGTTCTGCAAGAACGAGAAGGTGGGGGTTATGGTCTTCATTTTTTTGGTCTTTTCTTTAATTTATATACAAACTATTAAAAGTGTTGAAAATAAAACTCAGAACACACTGTTTATGATCGTTTATTGGATAAGTATAAGTCAACTATACTTAACATGTTTCTTGACTGTACTGCTGAAAGCCAGTCACATTGCAAAATTTTCTATTGTCAATAATAACCTTAAAACTCTTCACTTACTGAAACACCACACTTGCAGTTACAGTGCTGATGGGCTTGCGCACACACTGCCATAGCATTCAGCTGTTTCAGGATCAGCAGAAAGCAGCTTGGAGTCAAATAAGGAGAGCGGCCAATCACAGAGCACAGGAACACAAGTTGTTACTTTTTGTCGTTGTTATGGAATGAAGACTAGTTTCAGGACACGGTAGAGAAATCTCCAGGTTCCTAGCTCAGTAGTTGCCTTGGTTTTGATTTCTGTAGCCGCCTCTCTGGTAGCCCCCTTGGTAGCCCCCTTGGTAGCCCCCTTGGTAGCCACCTTGGTGGCCCCCTTGGTAGCCTCCTTGGTGGCCCCCTTGGTAGCCTCCTTGGTGGCCCCCTTGGTAGCCTCCTTGGTAGCCCCCTTGGTAGCCCCCCTTATTCTGCTGATAACCACCTTTTTGATCTGGGAACAAAAAGAAAAACATGATCATCACAGAGTATCAACTTTGCAAGCGTTTAATCAGATGAATCAAGCGGCCCCTGGTTTGGTTGAATAACACGACATATGAACTTGTCGTCTTTAGAATGGTATAAGCCTTATCTTTAACTCAGTCAGTCACTGATTATATGCAACCAAACTAATCAGCAACAAAGTTAAAGCAGCTGTGAATGAACAGCAAACAGAATCTGCAGAAGGTCAGAGGGCTGCAGCTGTGGGAAGGTCACCATGTGCTCAGAATATTTCTGGTTCATTCAAAGTGCAGCTTCAGTGTTTTTGAACATACCTCTCTGGTAGGATTGCTTTTGTTGGTAGCCACCTTTCTGATCTGTAATGTGAGGAACAAACAGTCATCATTGTTTAAACTTTTGATACCAAGAGACATTCCAGGATTAGAAAAATGCAAACTTTAAGTATATGCTGTCTAAACTCACCTCTGTTGAAGTAGCCTCCATAGACGCCCTGTTTGAGGTCAAAGACACGTTCGTTGTTCTCCACCAAGCTGCCCAGTTTCTCAGCCAGCTGCAGGGCCATGTTCTGCAGGGAGGTGGGCTCTGTGCGGTGCATCACCACCGTCTGTGTGGGCTGGTCGAGTGATGCCTGGTGGAAGAAGAGGAGAGAAAACATTTAGAACAGTTTGGCTGGAAAATACAATCAGGGGAGTAAATTCAATTAGCTGCAGTTGCATCTTCAAATTCGCTCTAAGGGGAAAAGAAGAAGAAGCTGTCACACCAACCATTAACTCCTCATTGATGATCATCTTGCTGATAATGCTGTGAACTGTAGGTATCTCCAACTCAAACATCTCAGACAGGGTCTCCATCCTGGAGGAAACGCACAAAAAAATACAACATTGTACCATTGATTTCCAGGTAAAAACTCTTAGAATTAGATACAATTAGATACAATTGATAATCTTCTATGGCTTGCATATTTACTAGTAGGTGGAGCTACATCCTAGACTGGAGAAAAATCTGGTCTGAGTGTAAAATTGAGGATTCAACTGTAGACTAAAACAGTCACAAATCAGTGCTGAAGTAGAAACTGCTGCCAGCAGGCTAGAAATTCTTGCATCTTGTGCTCACCTGATGGAGTCGTACACACTGCTGTACGTGAACAGGTAAGTCCTCAACGACTCCTCTTGGATCTTCCTATAAAAGCAAACAATGAGGAAAATATATGAACATTACATATTTGTAAAAAAACAAATTTAACAGACACCACAGAAAATGATCACATCTTAATCTGAAATGATTGATCTACTTGATGCATCTTCAAATTATTCAAATCTACCACGTACAGTTCTTAATAAAACAGCTACTATATAATCGAATCATCGAAGCTAATGCGTATGCTAACCTGACGAGCATCTCCCGTACTCGCTGCGTCTCAGGAAACAGGTCCCAGACTTTACTGTTCATCTTCTCATTGATGATGAACGAGTGGCAGGTACGCCAGTCTCCCATCTTCATGGCCTTGCTGGCTGCCACCACGTGCTCCCTCATGCTCTCTGGGGGTCCTGCAGGACAAACGGAGCGTTGAAGTTATCCGCTCTTGATCTCTTTGTACTAAACTGACCTGGTTGAAAAGAGTTAGGAGACTTGTTTCATACCTAGAAGCGGCTGTCTCTCTCCCACCCTGAGCTGGTGGTGGAACTGTTTGCTGATCATCCTGCGGCGGGCATCAAACTCGTGTGCGGCCATGTAGGGGATTTCCAGCAGCATGGCCGACACCAGATACACACACTCCAGCAGCTCCAGGTTGATGTGCATGTGGAAGGGCACCTGTGACAAGAGGTCAAAACAATGTTATGATAGTCATGTTTTAAGTTATTCTTAAACTTAACATCATCCTTTAGAATTTGCTTTCATTCAGCAAAGCTACACTACACCCAGCATCCTTCTATCTGACTCACTTGTCTCCTCTTCTCAATCTTCTCCTGCTCAGCGTTCCTCTCCTGCATGTTCCTCATGAGCAAACCCTGACCCAGCAGCTCCTTGGCACGGCCGGACGACTGGATGTCCAGCAAGGCGTTGTGGGCGTCTTTGATCATGCCCTGCCTGAAGGCGCAAATGCCGAGTTGCACCATGGTTCTGTTGTACAGAATCTAGAGAAGACAAGAGGAAATAGTCAGTTAGCATGCATTCAACGCTCTTTGCCTTTTGGGTTATTCTCCGTGCGTTTGCCCACCTGTACGGGCGGGTCGGCGTGCTGGATGTTGTCCTGCAGGTGACTCATCAGCATCAGGTCTCGCGCCTGGTACCAGCGGGAGTGCAGAGCGTGGTGGTAGATGTGGCAGAGGATGGCACAGGTGCGGATGCGGTCAGTGCGATCCTTGGCGTAGATGAACTTGCAGAGGCGGTCCATGATGACGGCGCTGTCCTCCCCCTCACTCTCCTCCTGGTCCTGCTCGGACTAAAGACAGCAGACACACACGATGCAGCACCATCAGAATCCCAGCACAGACAATTCAACTTACTCACTTCTAGATAGACTTCCACTTTAAAACATAGGATTTGCCTTTTTCAAACTAAAACGGTCTCTCTTTTTCTCTGATGCAAACTGCACCACTCCTCTTATCTTACCTTGGTCTCTCCCTGGAGCCCCAGGCTGCGCCGGTGGGCCTTGTAGTCAAACTTGTAGTAGGTGTGCATGATTCTGCGCAGGTAGATGCGGCATATCTCCTCTGTGCTGCCCTTGTTCTCCATGTAGTTGAGCAGCCGGTCGATGATGCCACAAACATGTCCCTCGTCTTTCAGATTGTCCACATATTCTGGAGGAGGAACAGCAAAGGAAGTAATGAGGAAGACGTGTTTCAAGGAGAAAATAATCACACTGCAAATGACTTCCTGCGTAATAAGAGAACACATTTAAAAGAGAGGTCTTCAGTGTGTCTTCTGGTAGAGCTCACCTTGCGAGTGGGGATCGGTGTTCTGCATGATCTTGGTAAACTCTTCATCCATCCTTTCTACCAATGTTAAGATACATCCACGAACCCTGAATGGCTGACATGAAAAACAAGCAATACAGAAACTAATGTTTAGTGAAGTGATCTCATCGTCTTTCCAGACACAAAAATGGAGTTTGTGCAGGATGTAACAAACAATTCTATAACATCTGAAGACGTACAAATAATGATGCATCCATAAATGAATCATGAAAAAAAAAGGCCACAACACAGATGACACACACACACATTTGCAGGGATTCAGTTTAGTGATGGTCTGAATGTTGAACAAAGAACAGAGAGGAGAAGATGATCACCTGGTCGGAGACTGCCAGATTCTCACTGTCCTCTGCGATGTTTTCCCCGATGAAGATGTTGTTGTGTTCGAAGAGGATGTCGAGCAGTTCGTCGATGCAGTCCAGACACTTCTTCCACATGTCGGGCTAGAGTGAAACCGAACAAGAATGATAAGTCTGAAAACACCGGGCAGTAAATGATAGATTATGCCGCATTTCCCCGCTGAATATAATCACGCGTAATAAATACTACAGGAATATAAATAACTTGATTGTACCATTGTGTATTTATGTATAATGGGTCTTTATTTCTTCATCTTTCCGCTACAAAATGTTACCACAACATCAATCACGGCATGAAGAAAACAAGATGCTCTTACCTTCATGAACGCCGCCAGGTTGGGGTTGTAGTCGTACAAGGAGGCGACGATGTTAAACTTGATCTTGACCATGATACCTTGACCGAGGTTATTCTCGAGGGCGATGGCTGCCAGAGCGTGGAGCAGCTCAATCTGAGCGGCTCTGGAAAAAGAGAGAAGTCAAAGGAGAGGAGATGAGAACAGAGAAAAACACAACAAACAGATAAGACTTGATCGTGGAATAAGATAAACAATGCTTTAAAAAAAACAAAAAAAAAAAACAGATGAGGGGGC